TCAGTTTGATCATTTCAAACTGTGCCGGTAGTTGCCGAAACGGACCGGTGTGGACTGGTAAGCAATGACCTATGAAAGCTAATCCAGTAACGCAAGTGCTTCGTGTAGTTGTAGCGTAAAGACCAAATGCACATCTGTCTCCCGCAGTTCGTGTAGTGCTGCGGTAGCACGAGCTACGAGTTGAGTCGACAAATACGGAAATGCTCATGTATTAATGTATAGAGCTCAGCTGATGTTCAACATCATATTGAGCTCGAAAACAATACTGCATCAAAGCAAATCCCGCACGGCCACTTATCAGCACAAACGCCTCATGCCATCCCTCCCTTTTATTATTGTAACAAATGAATTCGACTATTCCAATGGTAGGGGTGTCATTTTAGGATTCTGAGCCGCGCGGCCTCGTTGTTTGAAATGCAACCACGCAATCGAGCTCGCTGCAGCCTGCCAATGACAGACTACTGCTTCAAAGTTAAAGACTAACGTGCTATCTCGCAATTTACTGGCAATCGAGCAACCGAGTTTGCAGCTTGTTCTATCATACCGATGACGACACCTGGATCTCCGCCGGTCAAGCTAACGCATTGGCACCACGAGTTGCTGTGGGAAACCAAGCTCATGTACGCGTTGTCCTCGGCAGGCGGCTCTGCCATGTTCAACTTCCTGACGGTCTACTACCAGCACACAGCAGGCTTTTCCAAGGTGCAGATCGGTGTGCTGCAGACTCTCCCAAGCTTGGCCTCCATGATAGCCCCACCTTCTGGGGTGCAGTGGCCGATCGCATTCGCAACCAGCGGCTTATCCATATTTTCTGCATCATCAGCGGCTCCGTCTTGTGGTTCTCACTACAATTCTTCGCGTGGTCGTTCGAGTGGACCATCTTCATGGTAATGCTGGCGCAGTTCCAACGCAGCCCTGGTGCCTCGTTGCTCGACCACGCGGTGCTAAACTTGCTGGACAAGGTAGGAGGTGAGTACGGGAAGCAGCGCTTGTTCGGTGCAGTAGGCTTCGGGATTGGCGCCTACGTGACGGGCCTGGCGGTGGCTGTTGGTGGTATCTACTGGTCGTTCGGAATGAGCTTTATCCTATGCATGTCATCACTGTTAGTGCTGCGGTTGATTCCACCGGTGCGATATGGCGACAAAGGATACACAGCACTGGAGGCGGGTGAAGACAAAGAAAACACTGAGTCCGAAGCGCCAGCATCCTTTATGGAAAACATCCGGGTGGTTACGAAAGAGTTTGACGTCCTAGTGCTGCTTGGTGTTGTATTTCTGATGGGGCTGATGTACGGGGTGTTGTCGAGTTTCCTTACTCTTAACTTGTACAACCTATCCGGCGGAGATGCGAAGATCGTCGGCGTCGCCATCATGTGCGAAACTGCGTCCGAGCTGCCGGCCTTCTTCTTTTCGCACAAGATTATCAAAAAGATCGGTACAGTGAACGTACTCCTGGTGTCTATTGCTGGATACGCGCTTCGCATCTCGTATTACGCAGTGATGACAGACCCGTGGAATGCCATCCCATTTGAATTCTTGCACGGTATCACCTTCGGCCTGGCGTGGGCTGCAGTGACGCAGTACATTTACTCGTCGACGCCTAAGGGGTGCGAAGGAACTGTAATGGGCGTGCTGAATGCCATTCAGAACGGTATCGCGCGCGCTACTGGCACTCTAGTCGGGGGATACTTTTATGAAAACTACGGCCCGCGCGTCATGTGGCTGGTGACTGATCTGGGCGTACCGCTCTCGCTAGTCGGTGTCGGAGTGTTTGCCTACTTCAAAAACGCGAACGAAGCGGTGCACGAAGATTTACTCGAGGAGGCCGAGCTGTTTTCTCCGCATGCCGCGGACCCACAAGCCCTAAAAAGCGACGGTCAGCTACTGTATGACGAGATCGAGTAAAGAATACGGAGCTTGTTATCATCACCGTTGCTGTCGAGTCGCACGTTCTCATGAGAGTAAATTTGTTCAACCACTTTATTTTTTGGTCACATGTACCCAGTCTGATTCACCCGGTTTAAATATCCTGGAATCACTAAGGTTTGTTAAGCCACATAGAGGGTATGTCACCCCTATAGAAGAGCACTGACAGCTGCTGGACGCTCGCCATAAGGCAACTCGCGGAAGGCGATCTTCATCATCGGCTTCTCGAACCACTCGCCTAGCACTACTACAGATCGATACGAACATGGAGACACCGACCCACAAACACCCAAAACAATCGGGGGAATGCCACCGCCTGCTATGGGAACCCAAGCTCATGTACGCTCTCAATTCGGCGTGGGGCTCTACAACCGCCAACTACTTGCCGGTCTACTATCAGCACACCGCTGGGTTCTCCAAGATGCAGATCGGTTTACTCCAAACGCTTCCTAGCATCGCTGCCATCATAGGCCCACCATTCTGGGGCGGCGTCGCCGATCGAATCCGAAACCAGCGACTTATCCATGTCTTCTGCATCGTCAGCGGCACGTTGTTGCAGTTCTCAACCCGGTACTTCTACTGGTCACTTGGCTGGACTGTGTTCATGGTGCTCATCAGCCAGATTCAGAGTGGCCCCGCCGGTTCATTGTTGGACCACGCGGTGCTCGATTTGTTGGCAAAAGAAGGAGGGGAGTACGGACGCCAGAGACTCTTTGGGGCGGTGGGATGGGGCATTGGAACGTACTTGACTGGCGTCGCGGTGGCGTGGGGAGGAATCTTTTGGTCGTTTAATTTGTGTCTCATCGTGGGTTTTTCAACGTTGCTAGTGCTGCAGCGGATTCCTCCGATCAAGTACGAGGAATACGCTGCAGTGGCGACGGCAGACGAAGAAGGCGTCTCGGATGTTGCCCCGTCATTTTTGGAGACGACACGCTTGATTTCCAAGAAGTTGGACGTCCTGGTGCTGCTCGGCGTTGTTTTCATAATGGGGAACATGCATGGGGTCTTCTCTAGTTTTCTACAGCTTAACTTGTACAACCTGGCGGGCGACGATCCGCATATTATTGGCGTGGCTATCATGTGTGAGACTTCGTCGGAGCTGCCTGCTTTTTTCTTCGCCGACAGAATCGTCAAGAAAATTGGCACAGTGAATGTGTTGTTGGTTTCCCTCGCGGGTTACACACTACGAATTTCGTATTACGCGCTGATGACAAACGCGTGGGGTGCGATTCCATTCGAGTTCCTGCATGGCATCACGTTTGGACTAGCGTGGGCTGCTTGCACACAGTATGTGTTTTCTGCAGCACCTCGTGGCTGTGAGGGAACTGTGATGGGTGTACTGAGTGCCGTTCAAAATGGATTGGCACGGGCGTCAGGCACGCTGATCGGTGGATACTTCTACGAAAATTATGGCGCTCGCGCGATGTGGACCGCCACAGGGTTTGGCATTCCTCTGTCACTGGTTAGCGTTGCTATCTTTGCGTATCTTAAAGGCGACGAAGACATTGCTGTGCCGGAGGAAGAGTTGTTGCTAGAGCAGGCCGCTTTATTCTCGCCGCACCGAGGGGATCCACAAGGTTTGAAGTCTCCGATTCATCAGCACGGATTTAACACTTCTGCGCATCTTTCCTATGACTCGGTTCAATAAGAAACCCTGAATCTACATGTAGTGCATGAAGCATGGAAGCACCATAACACATTGCTTTTAATTGCAATGTTTTTTTGTGAGATACTTTTCTATCAAGCCTGAAGCAGTCTCATGTAATGCCCCACTTATCTTCATCTCGCGTATCTTTTGGGCTTGTCACGTTATACTTACATGTTTGCCTTTTAGCTGCATCCGCAAATTTCCCAGCGATCATTGTGGTACGATAGTATTGTAAGCAATGTGTTGATCGGGGTAGCTTGGTAAGATAGTTTACCGAAGATTGGGTTTGCTTGCATTTCTCGCTATTATTTGGTGCGGTTCGTTTTCCAACTCGTTTAGTTTTTCGTGCTCATGCGAATGAACAAGTGGCTGGACGGTATCCATGAACCCGCACCTTGTCTTCATGGACTTTCCGAGTAAAACGATTCCGTACTTGAGGTAGGAGGCAGGAAGTAAAAGCAACTGACCATCGGATAACTTTTCTAGCGCCCACGAACGCCGTACCAGGCTGCACGCACGGATGGGATTGTCGATCATATTCTCCACAGGAAGGCGGTCTTCGCTTATTTCGTCAAGGTGTGTTGCTTCAACCGACGTCGGTAATGAACCTGAACCCGTAAGTTCTTCTCGTGTTAGACTTGACGATGAGACCGGTTGCTTCAAAATTCCAGCGCTGCTTCTTGTTAGGCCCTGAGGAATGGAAGGGGAAGTTGCGGACAGGGAACTCTCTGCCGTACTTGGTTGGACTGCACACGCAGAGCCACGCACCAAGCTTCGAGAGGGCATTGAGCTCGCAAGATGAAATCGTAAAACTGTGAAAACACCTACAGCCAGGGCACCGATTGCGATGGTAACAAGCAGCGGATAATAGACGTCGAAAGGCGCAACAGTGGTGTTTTGGCGCACGACAAATGCGTTTGCAATTGCAGTAGCATTTCCAAAGGAGGAACGATCACTTAAGCGCTGGCGATCCTGGTCCCGCATCAAGCCGTAAATTTGTAATCCTCCCAAATGAACGCTAATGACAGCGACAGTTGCGCTAATAGCCATGACTTCCAACGGGCTTACGTACGTATGTCGAACAAACGCTAAGGCACCTTTTTCATCGAAGGCGACAAAGATATTCCAGATGATGTTAACACACAGAATCACTAGGTCATAGAATCGAATCATTGTCAAAAGCGCGTGTGTACCTCCACCACCGATAATTCCGTCGCTCCATAGATGAACGCTAGGAATCACAAGCATCCACGTCAGCAGCCTGGAGATACATGTGAGCAGTGCAATAGGAGTGCTCCACAGCAAACCAATTTGAAGAACTCGAGTGTAATCCTCGACCCCATAGCCCAACTTTGTCGTTCGTGCGGAAGAAGTCTGATACTCAGAAGCAACTAGTGGTTTCCATAATGCCCATAACATATATCGGGAGATCTCCACCACACTGCAAATAGAGAACCCCAGCAAACCTAGATCCACCAAAACCATAATAATGTACAGTGAGCCAGATGCAGACACATTGAGCAGTGATCTGTGCTCCAGTACTCTTTTGCCGTTACCCTTCGTTGAGTCGTGCATTGTGAACATACTACGATGATTTTCACGTATCAAGAAAGTCATACCCATAAATTCCAGATTGTCTGACGTTAGCCAGGCTTTGTCTCGCAAAAAATGCGAAATCATGGGAGCAGCGCTTCCGATGAGGACGCTTCGGTAAAAGCTGGGACTTCCACATCCATATATCGATGTAGAATAGGCCCCTGATCCTTTGACGATGAACCCCTCCACACATACGGTAGCAGATATCGGTGAGCTTTGGCTGATCAGTTCAAGCAGCTCAATAAGCTCCGTCTCTGTATCACGTCCAGGTGCTGCCGCGTATATCTCTCGTATGGTACCTTTTGGCAGTTCTCCTGCGGATTCGCTTATCAGGGAGTCAGTTGCAAGTTTGTCCTGAAAGTTGTAGCGCTCTTGAAACTGGGTGACGATCGGGGAGTGGCAGATGGGTGGCTTGCGGTGTTTATACAACAGCTCACATGCAGCCCATGCCACGGAATCAACGCTGATGCTGCTCATGAGAACAATATCTGTGGCTCGAATCGGGTTAGTGCTCTCCCCGATCAGGCAGTTCTTTCCGACAGCATGGCGAAAGCTACGCGTCTTGTCTTCTTCTAGTAAGGGCGTGAGCGACTCACATCTTTCCAAGAAGGAGCTCCACCCCGAGTCTCGCTGTAACTTCTGGTTTGCGTAGGAAAATGACGTGGTTGGTTGCAATGGTGCAGCGTTCGACGCTGGCAAGATTTTCATATCTACCGTTGAGAAAGAGAACGTGTTGTGGGGTCCCACCCATCGCAGCTTAAACCATAGATCACGCACGTCCAGCAGCAAGGATAAAACCACCAAAATGATGTCCAGCAGCAGCGGCATCCATCGCGGGGCGTTCCGGCAATAGTAACTTCGGTTGAGCGTCATGGTCAAGTGGAGCTTTTTGCGCACGAAACGACGCGAGGTGATTACGCATCATTCATTGGTCGAAAATGTGTCTCAAAGCGACATACATTCTCGAAATTCTTTCAAGCTACGTCAGCGCGGGCAGAATTGGATTGGCTCTGTTGAGAGCAGGAGAGTATACAGCTAGCGTAAGTTATACAGCATAATGGAGCTGGATCTGAACTCGCGCAACGCCAAGTGGAACCGTGAGCAGAATAAGCGGCGTGAGCAGGCCAAACGCAAGATCGAGACGGAGCGGCGTAAGCGTGCGGCAGCCGCCAAGGCGAGCGAGGAGCTGGAGAAACTGCAGATGCAAAAGCGCGTGGAGCGCATCGCGGAGCTGGAACGGCAGGAGCAACAGGCGCTCGAAGAGCAGCGACTGACGGGTGGCATCAGATACCTGAAGCAGCTGCGACCTGTTCCCACTACGGGGGATGGCGACAAGATCGCGCTGCCCGTGTCGGCGTTGGAGGAGCTCAACCCGCAGAACGCGCTGGAGCTTGGTGTATTCACGTTCGAGCTATCATTCGATGAGGACCAACAAGGTGGAGAGGCGTCCATTGCAAAGCGACAGACTCATGCTGGCGTACTGGAGTTCGTGGCGGACGAAGGAACGGTGGGGCTCCCGCCCAAGGTCGCCGCATCGCTATTCCGACACACCAAAGAGCTCCCTGACAGTATTCAGGTGCGCTTCGTGCGACTAGAGAAGGGCAAGTTCGCGAGTTTGCAGCCGAGAGGAGAAGGCTTCGGCGACCGTCAGATCGACTTTAAGCACATGCTCGAGCGCTCGCTCAAGGCGCACACGACGTTGACGGAGGGCGATGTGCTATTCGTCCGACATGGAAGAGAGACGTTCGAAGTTCTCGTGGCGGAACTGAAACCCGAGAGAGCTATTAACATCCTGAACACAGATCTCGAGGTGGATATGATCCCGTGCGAGGCAGTAGCCAAGAAGAAGGAGGCCGAGAGACAATTAGAAGAAGAAGCGGCGCGCGCTGTTGCGCTGGCTCAGGAAAAAGAGCAGTGGAAGGCGGGCAAGTTGACGAAGTTGGTCCCGGAACCTCCTTTGGACGAGCGTCTTCAGGTTAAATTGGTGTTGAGAATGCCGGAGGGACAGTCGACTCGTCGATTCCTGCATTCATCGCCTCTTCAGAGTGTATTCGACTACATTGAGGCGCTGACAGGCGAGGAAGCCCGATACTTTCGGTTGGTAGCTACGTACCCACGTCGACTCTTTGGAGTAGATTCGGCAGACAAGTCCCTGCAAGAGCTCGGCCTGAATGGCCGCCAAGAAGCGCTTTTTGTTGAAAAGATCGAGGTTACGCCTGAACCCGCTGCCTCAGAAAATATAAATGGAGAGATCTTGGTGGCTCGGCCACGAACGCAACTACCGGGCAGCTGGGAGGAGGCTCGACAGACGCTGGAAAAGTGGCTAGACGAGAGTATGCACTCAACCGTTGTTCCTGCCATTCACGCCATGGAACCTGCCATGCCTGTCGCGCAGTCCGCAGACCAAGAGACTAAGTGGCAAGCACAGTTGAGAGAGCTGGAGGAGATGGGCTTCATGAATCGATCGCTGAATATCGAGGTGCTTGAGCGATATCAAGGTCGTTTACTACGTGTGGTCAACTATCTGTCCGAAATGGGTTCCCCTCCTGAAGCTGCTGATAGCGGAGTTACCGTAATGGAAGACTAAGCACAGAATTGCAATATCTAGCCAGTAACAACATGCAACATGATACCACTCGGCACTTTAGCTCTATTTTTCATTTGCTTTATCCAAGAAAGCCAACCCGCTCCACTCTGTGCCCTGCCTTGGCATCTCTATCTCTCTGCTCGCGCAGAGCCTCCTGTAGAAGTTTAAATAGCTCTTTCGATCGTGCGCACGCCTCATCGATCATCTGCTGCATTTCCTCCATCTCGATGGCGCCGTTGCCGCTCTTCTGGACACCGCAGACGCTTCCCTCGGGGTTGACGGCCACGCTCATCTGCGCTGTCGTGCACAGCTCCTCCTCTTGCAGTGGGTCAGTGATGAAATAGTCGCCGATCTTACTGAGTGTCACGCAGATGGGCCACTGCTGCGCCATCATAAGCTTGCCAGCTGCAGGGTCCGTGTCCACCTCGATGGTCTTGTCTTCGCCCTCCACGCCAACCAGCCGCACCGACGGGAACACCGTGTCGTTGAGCGCCGCGTAGATAGCCATGGAAATGACGTCCGGCAGGTTGCCGCTAGACTCGAACACCATCACGTCAATGCTGATGGACCAGACGCTCTCGCCCGGGATGATGCAGTACTTCTCAAGTTCGGCACTGGGGCACGAGCACAGCAATCGCGTCATAAGCTGCGACAGCTCCACGTTTAGCTCCTCCACAGCTCGTCCATGGAGCTTGGCCGAGACAGACGGACAGCAGGAAACAGCGACCTGGACGATGCCCGCGTTGGGGGCCTCGGGTAGTGGTGAGGCGACCTCTAGCTTGACGGAGGCCAGCACGTCAGTACCCGACGCTTCCAGTGACGCGCGGGCTGAGCCGTTGGACTGCGCGAGCAGCGATGTCTCTAACGACAGGCTGCGGTACGAGAGGCGGTCACGTCCGTCTGCGCGCACGTCGGCGGCGACGCCCTCAACGATGTACTTCTTCTCAGAAGCGCTCACCTTCAGCATCCTCGACTAATACACTGTTGCTTCGATCGAATGGATGGACATGCCATAGTCTTTACAAATCGCTGATTGGTCATATATCTAAACTGCAGTTAAAGCTTCAAGAAAGCTAACATGCCTGCACCAGAGGTTGGTGCTACACCCCAACATAATGGACTCACACCTATTAGTATGACCTCATGTACGCGTCGCCCGTGCGATCGTTGTATCCTCCACCGCGGTAGTCGCGTCCACGGTAGCGACTTGCTTCGCCCGAATACACGCGTCTCCCGTACTCGCTATTATGGTGCACTTCAACAGGACCGTAGTCGCGATAGCAACGCTCCTTCGTATTCCAGCTATCGCCACGCTCACCGCCTTCCCATGGAGCACAATCTTCTGGTCGTGGCCGTGATCTTGATCTCGATCGTCGCCTTTTGGGACCACGGTCGTAGTTCTGATCGTATGGGCGGCGACGGTAATCCTCTTGTCGCTGGTAAGACTGTACGTCCTGTGGTTGCTCCCATCTTGCACGAGGTGATCGACTGCATCGCCTTCCTTCTCTGCCTTCGATCCGATCGCTTGTACCCAGAACAGGTTGAGTATTGTTCTCAATTTCGCCTTCTTCTTGCTCTTCTTCACCGCTTTCTAAAACCAGCTCACCAGCAGATTTCTTGGACGATAGCGATAGGCTGGTTCCAACCGCTCCAGTAGTCTCACCACCATTTCCCTTTTCTACCGATTTGTGCTGCTGATCAGGAAATCTCCTGGGTCTCGAGCGTGACCTACTTCTTGATCGAAATCGAGAATACCCACTTACCGACAGATTGAACCGGTCGCTCTCTCTTCCTATTGAGGGTGGCTGGTCATATCTCGAGTACCGATTTGTAGACTCCTGGCGCTCTCGATGCCAATGTTGAGTGTTGCGTACAGTACCACCTTGTGGTGGCTGTGAGGATGACTTGGATGGGCTTCGTTCGTTCGAGAAAGATCGTATCGGCGTGCGATATGATCCGTTTCCGTTGGTCGGAGATACGTCCCGACCGTCCCCCACGCACGACTTGTGCTCGTGTTTAAGCTCGAGAGCATTCCCAGCGTCATCGCGAAAGACGTATGAAGCGCGCTCAGCATCCTCGATATTGCTGTAGTGTAAATACACGACACTCGGTTGGTTTTGCATCAATTTTTGCCAGTTTTCTCGCCGGATTTCGCAGCGTGGCACCGACTTCTTATACGTGTAGCGCTTGCTCAGTGACGCAGCGAACTCCTCGCGATCACGGTCCTGGTTGAATCTGATGCCAGTGGACTTTCGCTCGAAGCGTGCACATCGAACAATTAGCGTTGCCCGTCCACGCAGATGCTGCGGTACAAACGCCGTGCCGTACATTCGTCGTTGATAAAAATCTCTGTCTTCCGGTCGTTGAAAGCGTAGCTCTTCGTAACAGTTCATCATTCGACTTTCCACATCAGCACACCCGTTCACGGTTCCTATGGCCTTCGGAGCAGCCAGCGAAACACCAAAAAACGAGGCGGGGAATGAGTCCTTGTTCGCAATCATTTCACTCTTGGTAGCACTGTTCCAACGTGAAACCAAATCGGGTAAAACTTTTCCGTCAGCATCAAAAACTTCGTACCCGGTCATGCGTGCGGCTGATGTCTTGCTACCAACTAGTGATGGCTGGACTGCCAGCTCACCAGCTGCTATGATAATGGAGTTACGCTTTCGCGCCAGTCGCATGAGAGCTTTATCGTGTGCTGACAAGGCTGAGTTTTTGATGGGAACATGAGCTTTTGTTCTCTTCCGCTGCGAGCGAATTGGATCTCGACTTGAAAGCAGCGGACTTGACGCAGGAGATGGCTCTGGTCTCACTGAAATGGGGATGCGACCTACAGGTTTGCGGTCATTACGATAAACTGCACGACATTTAACTTGACCATCAGAATTAATGACGGACCGCTTGGGGATCACAAAAGATGCAGCACTTGAGGCATCTTTAATAGATTTTCTTGGAATCGGTGCCATATCCAGATCCATTCCGTTCATGTCGTTGGTGTTTGTCTTTTCACTTTCATCTTGAGGTCTCACATCGGCCGATATACTTCTTGGAGAAGCAGGGGGATCAACCTGCCCCTCCTCCTTGACCTCCTCACGTATAGTTATGTCACGACACGACTCTACATATTGTGTTGGCGGCTCTTGGCTTTCAGGACCGTCGACATTAGTGCTGTCTCTAGTGGATGGAGCTTCTTGTTCGTGTGGAATCTCAAAAACCGCCGCATCTTTCGAGTGCATTGCATCAGCATCTCGGCTTTCACTCTTCTTGTTCGGAGACGTCAAGCTTCCAAGCGTTAGTCCAGTTCCAGCGGCACTTTCAGCTTCCTGTTTCACAAGTTCCAACCTTTGCCGCTTTCTTCTGAGTCCAGCTTTGTTGTCGAGCTTTCCTAGGGCATGATGAGCATCTTCCTTTCGCTGCAGTCTCTCTTTGTCAACACCGGCAGTGCGAGGGCGTTTCAAGGCTGATATTGCGGAGGATTTCAATCCCCCTAATTGCTTATTGGCAGCACGATGCAGAGGTTCAAGCAATCGTTTTTGTTCCTTTGCATCTTCGGTGGATAGCGGTGCTGAGCATGGGCGTGCATTAACTTCGCGTTCGCCTTCCTCATATATGCCTGCAGCTCCAGGAGCTTTCTGTGCCTTGCGCATCTGCTCACGCTGGATTCTCTTTAGTCTTGATGCCTCAGATGACTCCTGCCGCTTCAATTTGGCGGCCGCTAGTCGCTTGTGTTCACCCGTAGCTTTTCGACGAGCACGCAGCTTCCTCATTCGCCGCTGCCGTAATGCTGCAGCCTTAGCTTTCGCTGGGTCAATCAAACACTTTTGTTGCAACCCCTCTACCTTTTTCTTCTCGTTAACCACCTCAATTTCCAAACCCGCATGAAGTCGTTTACGTTGCGGGATTTTGCCACCTTTTTCCTCGACATTTTTTCGGCTCCGTTTTTTTCCAGCCTCGTTCTTCATGACCGACAACGGCGTTTTTCCAAGGTGGTTTCTGTCCTGCGAGTCGTGCTGATGCTTCACTACGCTATCACTCGAACGTGATCCCAGTTCGCCCTCTCGATCCGTACCGTAGCGTCCAGGTCGATTCTTCTTATTGTTACTTTCTTGCCGCCCCTCTCGTCGATCTTGTATGGCGTCATCTCCGGTGGTGGCACTTTTACCTTTGTGCACCTTCTTCTTCATGAGCTGCTTGTCGGCGCTTGAAAACTTTTCTAACCTCTGGTCCTTCTTCTGCTGCGGTGTGGCGTCCGATGAGTCTTCGTCTTCATCAAGTAGGCTCTTCAGCCAATTGATTTTATTACACGGAGCATGACCGTTCGCTCTAAGCCCCACCATTGTGCTGTTTCAGCTCGGCAACATACAAGTAGAGCCAATGACAAAGTTAGAGCTACCTCAATTTGGCAACGCAATCCCTATTCAAGCAACCTTTGACCGGTATACTGTATACATTCTGCCGCAGAATTTTTAATCCTAAAAGTGCTTTTGGTGGGTTTAAGTGGAACCAAAAGCACTTTTTTATTATTTAGTTTGCTGGGGAAAAACTAAATGCTAAATAGTCGAATGCATATTACAGCACGTTGAATAACCAAAATACTGTAAAAAAAAAAATTAGAGACGATCAGTCTTACCCAGACCTGCAACCCTTTTTGATTTTGCACTAGCCGTTGCCAACTTATGGGCATGTGAATCCGATCAGCGGCCCTCAACTGGTCATTCCCTTACGAAATAAGAATGTTCCTATTCCTGATGCGGCTACAGTCTTGTAAAGTTTGTAGGTCCGTGTACGCTACAGGCAGGTTGGTCTGTTGGCTGTCCATGCTCTCGGCGCCGTCCTTGGTCGGTATCTCCATTGCCTCTCCATTTTTAATCGTGGCCAGTCTTCGTCGACGTCGGCTTCCTCCGAGTGAAACACTTCCGTCCGTGGCCGCTTTTGCTTTGAGCAAGTCTTAATATGGGCCTCCGCTTCTTATGTTGACCATGCGGTGAAATCGTCTTCAACATAGGATTCAGAATGGTGTGCAAGACATGAAGTCAACCTTTCGTCTCGCCATCTCACCCAGCCAACGTAATCGCTGGGGACGTATGGTGAGCACACCGAAGATTTCGTCCCCTCTGGGTGTGTTGGTAGTCGAAGCGCTAGCTTCTCCCTCACATCCAATTTTGCTCTGTACCGCAAGTGTCCTCCAAGCTTCACCCCTGCGCAACATCTGGATCAACAAGTAGCTTCAAAAGGAAGGAACAACCATGGATCCACGATTTTCTCCGATCACGGTTAGCGACAACATGTACAACATCGGCGATCTCTTCAACCTGCCGGCGTCGATGGATCTGCTGAATGATGAAGACTTCGAAAGCACGATGATGCTGCTGGACAACGCTGCTTTCCGAAGAGAAGACCCCGACAACATGGAGTTGAATTTAACCGGACTAAGCGACGCATTCAACACTCAGGACGCAGAGTCACCTCTCATTAGGCCCGACCTGAAGATATGCAGCAGCGGTAGAACTCCTGTCGGTGGTGATGCGTACATCAAACAGGAGAGCGCCATGCCTGGCTATTCACCGGCCATTGACTCCTTCCTCCGCGAATCCTGGGATGACATCGTTTATCCACTATCAAGATCGGCTGAAGCTTCTCTCAAGCCAACAAGTCGTTGCTCAAGCCCCTTGACGATTTCAGTTACTCCTGGTCGTGTGAATCCGCTTCCGCTCAACTACCTGCTCCCGATCCCGTCGTCGCTAGGAGGCCAACCATTGATGAAAAACATGCCTTACCTCGCACCGACGGTGCCACTGCCCCCACCGACACTGCGCACAGTCTCCAATACTTCAACCTCTTCGACGGTGTCATCTGCTTCATCTACCCGATCTAAAAGTACCCGACGGGCAAAGCCGTGCATAGTTGAAGGGTGCATTCGACGTGCGCAGTCGAACAATCGGTGCAAGACTCACGGTGGTGGCGCACGATGCCAAGTGGAAGGTTGTGACAAGAGCTCACAGGGTGGAGGTCTTTGCCGTGCCCACGGTGGTGGCAAGAAGTGCCGCGTACCTGGCTGCACAAAAGGAACTCAGCGCCTTGGTTTGTGCTATTTGCACGGTGGAATCCGTCGCTGCATTACGGAGGGCTGCAAGAAGAAGGACCGTGGCAATGGTTACTGCATCTCGCACGGAGGTGGTCGGCGGTGCGAAGCTGAGAACTGCAATCGGTCAGTTCGCAAAGGAAACCACTGCCAAATGCATCAAGTGTAGCTGAAGAATCCCTTTCAGATAAGTTGCGACCAGAGCCTAACATCCTACTTCGGAGTAGTTAGGAGTATTCTACTTCGAAGTACCTGTGTAGTTTGTACCAATACCTCTATATAATGTAAATACCAAACACAGAACAATGTATGATATGCTTCCAAAAGGTTTACATGACAACGCAGCCGGTAGAGTTGTTCTCCACCAATCCGGTGCGCACGATACTGCCTTCACTGATGTAGGCTGATGTGTGGCTATGACCTTTAGTGTCCCAGTCTAACGCCACGCGGTAGTAGCCATCGTGGGGCCGGTGCTGCATCACTACGCCGGAACCAAAAGGAGTCATCACTACGTCGCCACGAGATGCCTTGATCGCTCCGATCACACTAGACGGGTGCAGGTATGCGCGGGCTAGAGCCGACATGAGTCCGAGTCTAAGGACTACCACGTGTACACCGTCTTCTTCACGCACTTCCTCTAATACTCCTGATCCAAAAACTGTATCGACGGGTTGCCCCACCACGCCGCGCACCGGTCGTTGGAGGCTACTAACGCGGAAATACCCGCGCATACCTGGCAAATCCACCACGTAAATGTCGTCGAGGCGACGATGTGAGCGAACGGTGCCTTCACCAAACGGTGTTGTTACGAGAGATCCTTTCCCGAACAAAGTCTTCGGAAAACTCGGATCTGCATCCTCCAATTGGATGTTGTCGTTGTTTCCAGACAGTAGATAGCTGAGCGGGCTCACCAACAGCTCGAGTGTGTTGCGTCTTCCCTGTGAAGGTGCCACTGGGACCTCCTTGGTTTCATCAGCCTGGACGTACGCCACAACACCACTAAAATCCGGGTTCACAAGATTCGCCTTTAGACAACCATGGTATGGCTTGTTCATGGTCGTGGTCGCCAAACCGAATACTGTGTCAATGTCACGCTTGACGCCAACCTCCTCCGTGTAGGGGACCACACCTTCATCGGCCGTAGACCCGAGCGTCGAGAAACCATATCGGAACAACTGAAAAAAGCCACCACTGCCTGGCGGCGCAGGAACTTTCTTTTCCTTAGAAAAATCTTCAGAAGTGAACGTGAGCTCTGATACATCCTTCAAAGTCCGAGCTACAGGATTGATGAAGTCTTTCATAAGGTATGTCGTCACATGGTGGCCGTCCGCAAGAGTCCAGTCCGTCAATTCTACTGCATACACCTCGTCTGCTGCACGGTAGCTGCTAATGACACCCTTGCCGTATGGTGTAATAACATGAGAGCCCACCGGAACAGGTCCTGCTACTCGCTCGATCGCATTCCTGCTGGAACCCAGTCCAAGCATCGAGAAAAAGCTTCGAGGCGGGGACACTGGAGATAGCTGAAGGTGCCGCTCCTGTACAAACACACTGATTGGCGACGGCTGTTCTCCACTTCGAGTTTTAGTGTCGCTTTGAAATAACCGCAGCTCATAGACACGATCTTCTTCGCGAAAGTGGACAACGACACCCCGGCCAAAAGGCGAATCAACAACCACCGTCATCGCGAACAAAGGCTTGGGTCCAGATCCACCAGGCACAAACGTGATCAGCTTCTTTGTAATGAAGCCAATACCAGAGCGCACACCAGCGAACATTCGCGGTGATGTCGAGCCACTCGAAGCGTAGTTCTTCAAGAACTCGTCATCCACTGGTTGCAGCGAATCTGGTTTCAAAAATGCCGTTATGTGCAACATACTCTGGTCGCCAGGAATTGACACCGTGTAGATTTCATCTTCGGCGCGGTAAGACATCACACGACCGATACCGAATAGCGTTTTCACTAAACTGTGTGAAGCGAATATTCTGGCAGGCGGTGCGCGGTAAAACTTGACGTAGTTTAATGAGCTCTTGGACAGGATTGAAGAGTCCGAAGTGATGTAAGCTACAAGACTATCTTCCGGTAAGAAAGCTTGCACGCGTTTTTGGCAAGCTGAAGATGGCCAATCTGTCAAATCCACACGATAGATACCATCGATACCGCGATATTTACGAACAATACCCCGTCCAATTGGTGTACGAACGATCGAGTTCAGACTGAACACTTGAGGCTTCATCACCAAAGGAGACGGCTCAAACTTCTTCGCCATCAGCGCATTGGCCGCAGCGAGGTCGCGGTTCAGCAGCAACCTCGCACGTTCCCGGCTCTGGGGTGTTAGCCATGAATGAATAGCCTCGAACGACTTGCCAGCATCATCGCAGATCTTTTTCAGCCCACCAAGCCGAATCATTTTCATGCCGAAAGCCTCGACTGCTGCACCCACGTAAGTATCAAAAAAGAGAATGTTCATCTTACGCCAACGCACCAAGTCTTCTCTCGAATGATAATTGAACATCTTCTCCATCGGCTGCACGCGCTGGAAAAAGCCAGCCTCCAATGCATCAGAGCCAAACTTTTCCACAATAAGCTCGGCCGCACGAACGTCACCTTGACCATTGTCTCCAACAAAAACGTGCTTGAACTCCGGGTAGAGTTGGTAGAATTCGCTAAAGTTCTCGAATTTCTTTTGTGCCATCGGCTCCAGATCACCCTGCCACATGAAAGCACGGCCTGACTTCAGATTACCTGCGAGCATCGTGGGCAGCGTGTGCATACCCATCTTTTCGTGCAGAGCAGCAAACTTGGCGTACGACTTCTTCTCGGATACATCCTTGTACACATGCGGCCGTGCTGAGAGGAACACCAGATTGCCCACTCGATCATCGGTCCAGTCGTCTGGCCCTACAGTGCCCATATCCAACTCACGATAGAAGGGGAGCACTCCCGGGTACAGGGTGTGTCGAGGGAAGCGAGTGTCCAAGCCAGCTGGGTATCGACCACCTGAAGAATACAGCGTATCATCCACATCGCTCAACACCTTTCGCCATGCCTGCTGCTTGCGACTACGGCCTCTCTTTGTTCCAAGCCGCATGTGCGCAACCTGCACGCTAGCTTCGCGCTGAATATGGCTCAGAATATCAGCGCGAATTGTCGGGTCACGGATATCGTTGAACACTAGCTTGTGCATACTGTGGAAATCACCTTTCGCATCCGTGTACGTTTTGAGGTTGCTTAGGTCGTCACCCTGAGTTTTCAAAATAATATTACGCACCCATTTTTCAGCCATAGGGTGAGCACTGATTTTCATCACCATCAAAGCATCCAGCAGCACCGCTCGGGACATCACGGACAAATCTGCCAGTCGTGTGGTGCACAGCAAGTCAAGAATCAGCGTTCGACTCTGATCCTCACGCACATTCGAGTGGTCCTTCACTTTGTAGAACAGCAGCGCAAGCTGAGTATGGTTCAGAATGTAGTTGAGCTCGTCCTTCCCCGCTCCTGCGAGGATCCGGAAGATTTTGAGCTCACGCCTCTTGACCTCGGCGAAGTTAATCATGTTGTTAATCGTGCTGGGTAAATAATGGCGGTCAATGCGACTGACGCACTCCATGACGAGGTTCGTCTTCTCCTCCGCTGTGGCCTTGTATTTGAATAAATTATGCGAAAATTGCCTCGAAGCCTCCTTGAGTCTCGGCCGGCGGCTGATCTCCTGTCTGTGCAAGAACCTGTCGAAGAAGTGCACGCTCATGGTGAAGCCAAATACTAGCACCAAGCCAAGCGACGAGTTCCACTGTCCGACAGCGAGCGGCGAGTCCTTGATGTACAGCATTGCGGCGCTGAACATGAAGGCAGTACCTGTCCAAAAGCGGTTTTCGAATTCCTGCGCATCATGCCAGCGCCACTTAGAAGACTCCGTGGATAGATATAACCCAATGACATACATGATGCCGAGCCACGACGCACACAACAGCGGCGCGTAGGCGAAGAAGGCCATGACCACTAGGGCCAGTAATACGCCGAAGATGATCACGCCCACCAACACCAGCGCGCTGTTGGCTGGTTCATTCTTTTTCTTTGTCTTGAGAGTTTTGCGTGTTTTCGAACGCAGTACCTGCGAGGATACTGGTGTGGTCCGCAACGGCAGCGGGGAGGATGATGCAGGCGACGCAGCCATATTCACCCGGTTCACCTTCGTCTGCATCGTAAAAGCCATGAGCGATGGCCCAGCAGCGGCCAAGCGAAGCAAGCAGATAGGCGCTCTATAATAATAGTGCTCAGTCGCAGAGCGTTATCTCCAGCTGTATGGGGCGTTTCAGCGCGCAACTGGCGTCAACTGGTAGAGCACACGACACGCGAGCTGCTAGCACGGGGCGCGGGTGGATAAAGGGAGCGAGATTCCGGCGGCAAGCAGCGAGGCGATCGAATACGCTTGGGCCTCCGATTTTTCGCAATGCTCTGCTTGTCGAAATGAAGTCAAGTTTCTACCAATCCGGACGTGTCTCGGTGCAACTGTCACGTACCTATCGTAATGCATGACCATGCGGAAGCGGAGTCCATTTTCAACGATAAGAATGGCGGCGAGAGACGCCTGCTGGTGGCTGAGTCCGTGGAAGAAGCTCGATCAAGAATGGCAGGCAGCGTGCGCACGGGGTCAGCAACAACTTGCCAAGGTTGCAGATAGTGTGCAAAAGACAACGTGAGTTTCGTGGCTGCTGAAAACCGCATAAACCGCCTCTGACTTTCAAAACGGACAGATACCTCACTGGAGAGCACTGGGGGTCGCTGGCTGACTGCGAACACCTCCAATATCGTGCGTCCTCACGGGTGCGTACTGTGTGGCAAGCTTCACGTTTCAAGAATGTATTTAATGTGATGTGCTGTTCCGGGCTATTACTCTGGCTGATGACAGTTGTGGGATCTGGCACATCGGTGCAGCAAGCGACTTCAAGATGAAGTGGATGGCTTGGTGCGTGCTCCTTCGAGTGGTAGTTATCTCGCAAGCCTGCCGTGCTGACCTGGCCATTGACGACGCAGGCAGACATTTATGCGCGGATGCATCGCTTAATATCAGATGACCAGGCAAATAGGCTGGACGAGAAGCGCAGACAACGATATGGTATGCCATGACCCTCCTGTTAGAGTAGCATGGATAAGGTTAACTGACTGGTACTGCTATCTATGACAGAGATGATCTTGCTCGAGGTGCTGAGCATGTACGAACACGAGCTGGTGGCCAAGTCGCTCATCGCTAGCGACATCTTCGAGTGCTTTAAGCATGAGACTGTGACCATTTATCTGGCATCATGGCAGATGCAGCCGCACATTGATCGGCAGCGCCTGGAGGAGCTTGAAACGTTGATTCAGAATGACCTCCACTACCAGACGCAAAAGCCACGTCGCTGAGAGGGATCGCCAAAGATTCAGCATTAGACTCGCATAGACATAGTTCAATATTACTTTCCAGTAAACGAACAAGTTGTTTTATATCGCTGTCTCTGTTTGCCACGCAAAATGACAGAGGGGTCTATGCAGGAGCTTCACATTCTCGGTTTGTATCTCTTCCACGAGCCTTCGAAAGTCAAAATGACAATTGTTCCAAAATGGGGGCGGAATACGTTAAGTTGGTTCATCGAACTTACAAAACGTTATATGCGGTATCAATGAAATTTGAATGGGAGATCAACGTACATAAACCATTTTTCACTGCTTTCCACATACTGGTTCAGCGAATCTTAATGCTATCACTTGTGCTGTCGTTACGCGATCTTTGGTCGACAACCGGACGAACTTTGGCTCATTCGCCAACTTGCACGGTAGCTCTCGATCGAAGTCTCGCTGGAGCAGCCGAGCCACAAAGCATCGAGACAGGGGCCATACACCACTAGCACGCTTGGCAACGGCAAGGCGGACGAAATAGGCAACGATGCAGCACTCGCAGAGCGACGTGGCGTTGGGTACCAACGGTAGCTGGGCCGACCTCAAGACCGCCGAGAGACTTAAGAAGCGTAGCAACACGGCTCAGAACCTCCAGTTCTATGGTAAGGCTCACGGCTGCATCTTGGTATTCTCGTCTTGTTCCCCATTAACTTTTGCTGCCCGGTCTAACTCACGTGTGTTCAACCTGTGACGTGTGACAATAGTCGAGGAGCAAAAGCGTTTGTACCAGGAGCTGCCCTTCTCGGTGCTGCCTGGAATGCGCCGGCAGTCGTTCCAGCGTGAGCGCAGTTACTCCAATCTCAAGTCGCGCAGCTCATGGGGATCGTTCACCAATCTTGTGGCCAGAGGAGAAGATCAGCCACTGCTTGGAGCTGATGACGAGTTCCCTGAGCCTGGATACACGTTCCCGTTATTACTGAGCTGTGGTGTGGCGCTGATGAGTGCTTTCCAGTTCGGCTACAATACGGGTGTCACGGGCGGCATCACCCCGGACATCATCTTCCCTGGTCACTCGGATATGGAGTGGGCCGTCTGCGTGTCCATTTTCGCGGTGGGAGGTCCCATTGGCTCGCTTACAGCGGGCCATGTAAGCACAGCATTGGGTCGTAAGAAGGCTCTGCTTGTGGACTCGTTCCTCTTCATCATTGCGGGAGCCATCATGGCACTGTCGGTCAACATGTACGCACTCATTTTGGGCCGTTTTCTGGTGGGCTTCGCCTCGGGAACTGTGAGTGTTGTGGTGCCTCTGTATCTTGGTGAGCTTGCACCGCCCAATCTGCGTGGTGCGTTGGGCACAGGCTACCAGTTGTTCATGGTTATGGGTATCTTGGCCGCCGATCTTCTCGCGTTCAAGTACTCTGGAGAAAGCCAAGGCATCGCTCAGCCTGGTTGGCGCTTACTATTCGGCTTTACGGCCGTGCCTGGAATCCTACAACTGGCCCTTGCATCGCTATTGACAGAGAGTCCGCGTTGGCTCTTGACCAAGAACCGCCCCAAGGAGGCCGCTGACATTCTGCGTCGGTTGCGTGGGTCCAATGATGTGTACGAGGAGATCGACAGCATTTGCTCGGCTAGTGACAATGAATCGGGTGCTAACACCGGTATTTGGGACGTTCTCAAGGACCGAAGCATCCGCTTCCCGCTCGTGGCCGCCGTTGTCCTACAGGTCGCTCAGCAGTTCAGTGGTATCAATGCTGTCATGTTCTACGCGAGCTCTTTCTTCAAGAACGTTGGTCTGAAGGATCCACTGGTGGGCGCTACGTTGGTGTACACGGTCAACGTCATTTCAACGGGTGTTGCGCTGGTACTGATGGATACGGCTGGTCGTCGACCGCTACTGATTTACTCTGCGATCGGCATGATTTTCTCCAGTGTCGTGCTGACGCTGGGGTTGATGAATGCTTTGCCGTTTGCGAGCATGGCTAGTGTGGGCGGCGTCATGTGCTTCGTATGGTTCTTCGAGATTGGTTTAGGCCCCATCCCGTGGTTGATTGTAGCAGAGATGTTCCCTGCCAAGCCGCGTCCGACTGCCATGAGTATTGCCACAATGGTGAACTGGTCGTGCAGCTTTTTGGTCGGACTCACGTTCCCAACAATGCAACGCGAGCTAGGCGAGTACACTTTTGTGCCGTTCTGTGCCGCGCTGTGCCTGGCACTCGCTTTCACGCTCAAGTACGTGCCTGAAACGAAGGGCAAGACCATCCAGGAGATCCAGGATGAGCTTCGTTTGAAGAAGAAGCAGTCCATGGATGTGTAAGAGCGACGTGTCCAGCGCAGATTTAGAAGAAAACCCGCGAACGTGGACCGTCGACAAAAGTAGTCACGACATGCGAGGGATTCTCCCGAGACAACAGCGTTTCAGTAAAAGTAATAGCAATGCTAGCTAGTGTTCTTTTGCAGATCGTCCGGTAACGCAAAACTCTGTTGATATCGAGCATTTTTCTTTTCAAAAACATTACCAAGGATGCATCTACTGAACGTCGCAATGACTAGATCTTGCGACGTTTCTTCGCGTCGTGCTTTAGAATCTTCTTGACTACGCGATTCTTCTGGCGCTGCACCTGGCGAGCAGATACGAGCACCTTCGACTGCACAGATTTGCTCTTCTTGATCATCATGAAGTGCTTCAGGCGCTTCTTCTCCGTATTGGTAGTACCACCGCCTGAGCGTTTGTGCTTAAAGTCCTCACGACCTTCGAGGACGACGCGAAGTCGTTCCTCTTGAGTCATGCGCTTCTTCTTCGAGTAGCCCTCGAGATCAGTCGGATTAACCTTTGTTGCATCCGAGCTGGCTTTGGCAGCATCCTCCTCGGCCTTGCGCTTGCTGCGTGACTTCGGGTCCTTCAAAGCTGCATCACGCTCTTTCTTTAGCATCTCAATGCGTTCAAAATCGAGCGGCGTCAAAATACGACGGGCGTCCAAGCGATCCTTCTGCTCAATCTGTGGGGCCTCCTCGCTGCTCTCTTCTTCCTCTGCATCATCTTCATTTGCATCGCCATTGTCTCCGCGCTCATTGTCTTCTTCATCGGATGAAACATCAACCCACTCGTCCTCAGAGTTATCCTCGTCCGATGTGTTCGATGCCACCTCCCATCCGTCCTTGTTGTCTTCGCCATCAAAGCGTCCAGCGGCTTCAGCTTCCGCCAGCAGATCGGCACCATCCACGCCTTCGCTTGCCACCAGTTCACCGTAGCGATGAGGCTTGGCAGCTTCATTGTGAAACTTGCCGCGATCCTTGCGCTTAAGCAGAGCCGGATGAATGTCACGAATGAGATTGAGCACACCACGCGCTGCCATGACGATAGTTTTGTCGCGTGCACGATTGTACTGGACTAAATCGCTCACTAGCACGTCCATTCCCTCGCATTCCAGCAAAAGCGGCACGCGGCGGAACAGTTCACGTAGAGAGTTAATACCCACAGCAATCACTTCGGACGAACATCTCTCCGTGACGAAGTTGTGCGCAATACTCTTGACAATAGGCAGGAGCTCCTCCGGTGGGATTTCGTCGTGACATGATTGTACCAAATACGCCAGGATAGCCGTGACACTCTGCTGGTGAGATTGCAAGTAGCGCTGCAGTAGAGGGTAGAAAGGAAGGACCACAAGCTTGTGGAAGCCCAAAACGCGACCAATGAAGTTCATCATCAGGAGCTTCACCTCAAAACGCTCCGTGCAGCTCTTGAGCAGCTTCAACTGGCGCTCAGCGACGCCCTGTGGATCATTCAGCAATTCGATCGCAGGGAAGGTAGCCATGAAGTCGAGTTCACGCTTGCGTGCTCGCTTGTTCTTGCTAAGTGCTTGCAGAGTGTCACGCTGACGCTTCTTCGTCTTCTTCGAGTGAGCGTGAAAGTCTACAGCCACGAGAGCCTTTTTCTCCTTTTTCTGCTGCTCTTCGTCCTCCAAAATATCCTCGTCGATTCCCAAAAAGAAACTGAGAGCCATCACCAGCAGCTTCGTGTTTTTACTCGTGCATGCCGTAACTATAACGTTAACACTGCGCTGATCGTGCCAGATCTTGCGCTTGAAGAGCTCCATCAGCACCTGCAGCGACTTGACGGCGGCGTGTTCGCTCTCGTCTTTGAGCATCTCAAATAGGAAGTTCTGCAGCGCTTTGTTCACCTTTACGTTGCGCGACGTGGCATTGAGTTGGCGGATGTCCGACACAATGTGTTTGTACAATAACTCGCGCAGCCGTTTATCCGGGCAACGAAATAGCTCGAAAAAGAGCTTGAGCAGCGTGATGGCGTCCACAAGGCCACGGTTACGCAGCAGCATGAGGCTCTGCACAAGCGTTTTGCGCAGCTCCGGCTCCAGCACCAGGTAGTTGTCGCGCAGCAGTCCCATGATCTGTTCGGGGAAGGCCGCCATCTCCGTAGGGTAACATTTAGCCACATGACTCAGGAAGCTCACAAGCGCACCAAAGTGCGCCGACTCCTTCGTGGGCTGCAGCAGGAACAGTTGATACTCGCTCTCGAAGTGACGTAGTTGCATTAGGAACTCGGTGCGGTAGCCCACCGGGTCGCGTTTGACCATGTTCTGCAGCTGCGGCAGCTTGCCGATCACATCCGGGCGGGACGCGTTCACAGCCTCCATGACTTACCAGCTCTAGTGCTGCAAATTTAAAGCCCCGGCCGCGAGAAGATGTAGAGTGCGAGTGTGTCTTTTAGATGTTGTCAGCGCCTCCACCCATTCGCCAAGCAATAATTTTCCTCGATATAGTGTCCTAAGTCAGTGAGTCGAGGGAGTTGCCTTTTCGTGTGTTGTGTTGATTGGCAAAGATGACCAGATCAAAGCAACAGGAGCACGAGGCCGCCTTCCGCCTGCGCAACGATGTCTGCGTTCGCGTGGTGCAGGACACTACCAAAGTTGACGGTCTAGGCGGCGAAGTGTGGGCGGGCGCGCTGGTCCTCTGCGAATTCCTGGAGACGCACGATCAGGAGGTGGTTCGGGAACGCGATGTGATCGAGCTCGGGGCTGGCTGTGGTCTGTGCGGACTGGTCGCCGCCTCGCTAGGTGCCAAAACAACCGTCTTGACAGACGAGTTTCCTGATCTGCTGGCGAGAAACATCGCGAAGAACCAACACATTTGGGAAGAGCGTGAGGCTGACGGATCCTCCGCCATCGTCTCGAGCGGGGAGCTGGAATGGGGTGTCGCCGAGTCTATCGTGCCTTTTGCTCACAAGTTCGACACCATGCTCGGCAGTGAGATCACACAGCTGGGGCGAGATCTGCACGTCCCTCTTCTCGAGACGATTCGCTCTGTGCTTCGTCCTGGACCCAAGTCGATGGCACTGCTGTCCATGGATCCATGCCGAACTACTTGTGAAGGTACATGTAATGTAAGCAAATGCACAGCGTCACACTTCGTAGCCGCTGCAAAGCAGACAGGTTTCACAGTTCACAAGCACCCATCGGTGCGTCTGGCGACTCGGGAAGCCGTGACTACGTTAGTGGGTGCATTAGGCCGACCGCTGCATGTCGACGAGGACGACTGGAGTGTGGTCTTTGAGTTGCGTCTTGAAAGAACAGATCAATAATACTTAGTATACAGCCTTCATCGCTCCGACTGCAAGTGAACAAAATGTAGCCATTTCAGTGTGTCTGGCACCAAATTTGACTTGGTTTGAGTAAAGTGGCTGCCAAAAAAAAATATCGAAAAGATGTGCTTCTTCAAGACAAAAAAAGCAACAACCTTTTACGCTGCAACACAACACGAAACAATTTTAAAGCTACACAGCTTTAAGAAGGCCGTCAATCTACAGCGCTCTCTCCAGCTGCAACAGCCTTCGATGCCGCCTCTTGTGGTGATCCGCAGCGGCTGCAAGCACGTTGAGTATCTCGAAAACCACAGTACATGGCGGCGCGCGCCGCGGATGGAGACTCCTAGTGACGACGAGCTCGCAGATGACGAAGAGGACGAGGAATTGCTGCGCCAGGCCGAAGAGACTTGGCGTGGATCCGGCACAAACTGCGGCATCAGCAAAGTCTTTGGTTTCTCGCGGGAGCTGTGCGATGTGGAGGGAATGCATGCATTCCGTTGCTCTGACTGCGGCAACGCGGTGGCCGACCACGACGATGTCGTATCGAAAACGTTCTTCGGCCGCACTGGCAAAGCATTCCTAATGAATAACATGTACGGTAACGGAACAAAAGATTTTGCGCGTGTGCTAATCTGTTCTATTGTTAAGGTATAACGTTCGTGTCGGCCCAGCTCGCAACCGCTATCTAATGACGGGGATGCACAGCATCGCTGACGTGTTGTGCAGCCAATGTGACTTCGTGCTGGGCTGGAAATACGTACGTGGTGCTGCTTGATGAAGGTGCCATCGCCTGATTGATCACCTGCATTATGTGATGCCTAGATTAAAGCCATGGAGAGTTCCCAGAAGTACAAAGAAGGCAAGTTCATTATGGAGCAGGCTGTAGTCGAGGATGACTCGGAAGAGCAGGTCTGGAACCGGCTGTAGAGCACTCTCAGTCGTCTTGGCAGTTTGATCGATATGCGTAGCTAAATGACAGTGTCGGGAAGGACAAGGCAAAACTTACCATTGTGCACGAGAGGATTTCTAGCCCGCACGAGAAACAAATACTATAACTTATATGTCATTCATACCTCTTTCTCTGCGTAAGACGCTGGGTAACCTGTGTCTACGAGAACAGTACTTGTTTCCGACTGGTTCTTCTTCATTCTTCTTTGTGTGAGGATGGCTCAACGATAGTCGAATGCGGCGCCTTGATCTACTGGCCCGGCGGACCGCGCATACCAGGCGGTGGACCCGGAGGCCCACGCATTCCCGGAGGAGGCATCATTCCTGGCGGTGGACCCATTCCGGGAGGCATGCCCATTCCTGGAGGGGGCATTCCCATGCCTGGCATCGGTCGAGGAGGAGGCATCATACCACCGGGGGGTCCTGGAATACCGCGTCCTCGTCCGTATGCCTGTGGCTGTGCCATTGCCGCCACTGCAACACCATACCCACAATACAAACACAAGCGTTAGATTCACGCCACCATAGTCACTGCGAATGCTGCTCGGCTTAGTGGCTGGGCAGACTCCATCATACTAAGATCGTAGGCAGTAGTTTCCTAATTGGTGCTCAGCCGGGTTCGGAGAAAAGCCGTGCGCCCGATCGCTTATCTGTTCGATTGATCACTTGGAGCCAGCCACACGCCACTGCATCGCTGCCACAGCCATTTCATTGCACGAAAGTGCTATCAAATACATACCTTGTCCTGGCTGCATCATCCCTGGGGCCGAGCCTCCAATGCCGCGCATAGGTGCCATCAGTCCCATGGGAGGAGCACCCATAGGTGCCGCTGGGATGCCGCGCCCGGCTGCACGCGCTACGCCAGGGCCGCTCGGTCCGACAGTCTCGTTCTCCTTAGCGAGTGGCGGACCCTCCACGGTGAGGGACACGACGCTCTCTCCGCGCAGCAGCACGAGACCTAAGTGGCGCTTCTCGACACGCTCCTCCGAAACAGCAGACTTGACCTTGGCCTTGAGCGTGCGGAACTCTTCGCAGTCGCCCAGCACCAGGTTCATATGCTTGTCGAAAGCCATGAAGTAGCCGATCAGCACGCGCGAGTCCTGCAGCGTCACCTTCATACGGTAGTTGATGTAGTTGAGCATCTTGCTGCTCTTGGTCATCACCATCTTGGCCCCAGCTGTCTGTCGCTCGCTCAACCAGATACGCCTCCCGAGACGAAGAGCTAGCAGTAGATACGGTAACGCTGCTTTCCTGCTTGGTAGTGGCGCCACTCCCCATCCAATCCAAAACCCATAACCTAGCATTCACTATGTATAATCACAGGTTTGATAAGTTCAAGGCATTTTCATGATGATGAAGCACTTCTCAAAATCAGCGAGGCCAGAATGACGACGTCCAAAGCTGCAGACGCGTTCCCGGCGGCCGGTGCGTGCGCAGAGCTGCTTCTGGCAGATAATAAGGATGCGGTGTACGAGAGTGAGCTCAAGAATTTGCTGCGTGAAGTGCTGGAGCGCGGCTGCGGGGCCCACCTACTGTCGCAGCTCCTGCCGGAGCTGGCAGCGATTTCTTCTCTGCTCTACTACGGTCTGTCCATCGGCATGCAGCAGCCCGGTCAGACGCTGGGCGAAGAATTTTGCGATATTACCCGCGTCACCAAGCCAGGTTCTGGGCCTGTGGCGCCTGTGCGGCTTCGACGTCACACACTATGGCTCGCGTGCGCCGTGCTGCCTCGGTACCTGGCCGCGCGATCCCAAAGCGGCTGGAAAAACTTAAGTCATCTGACCCGCACGCCGAGGGAGCGTATGGAGCAGCAGCTTCGTCTTCGGCAAGAAGATGCGGTAGCAGCGACGGCAACATCAAATACAGACGAGAGTCTAGTGGCTACGTTGACACCCCAGCGGCTACTTCAGCAATTTGACCGAGTAGTATCAAGGCTCAAGGCTATGGGTGCATGGATCGAGAACGATTTGTTCCCCGCATCGTACGAATTCAGCTTGGCTTGTGTACAGCAATGGGGGACGCACGCTCACCTCGCAGTTTTTTATGTGTTCGCACGGTACCTGCACTTGGCGAAACGAATAGCCAATATCCAGTATATCTTCGTTCGGAAGGACTTGATGCCCGGTATGAACCTGTCCCTGCTCGGGTATATGATGTCGCTTCGGTTACTCGCCACAGCGACAATCGAGCTTAAGCGCTTACATGGACACCACAAACAGGAGAAGAAGCTGCGCCAACAGGAGGCGAGGAACGCAGCCGGTATCCCCGCGACCCCGTTTTCTCACTCGGAGAGAGTCCCTACGTCACTTTCATTTGTGAATTCAAACTCGGTGGCTTCTCATCAACAATCCAAAGGTGGGAGCGTTGGAAAGAGTCGCCAATCCCGACGAAAATGTGCACTCTGTTTGGGCGAACGAGTATCCCCAGCCGTCACCCCGTGTGGCCACGTATTTTGCTGGGAGTGCGTCGTGGGCTGGTGCCAGAAGAACAAAGCTGAATGCCCGCTCTGCCGTCAGGAAACTCACCCTCAGCAGATCAAGTGCGTGTATAACTACGTCTGACAAAACTTGTGAGAAGGTGGCAGCTTGCACAATAAACGTATAAATGCAATAGTGATTTTCGGTGCTCTACGCTGGGTGGTACATGGACGTAGACTAGCGTTTCCGTTGGCGCTTATTTCTCTTGCCGGCGGATTTGGAGGCCGCCCGCTTTCCTTTGCCTTCTGATTTCGTTTGTGTTTCCTTTTCCGCATCCTTGCTCTCGTCCTCCCCCTTTTTGGCCTTCACTGCGTCCACGTACACTTGATCGGAGCTCAGCGCATTGTGAATAAAGCGCTTCGAGGCGTCCTTGTCGAGCACAAGTTTAGGTCCCTTGGCTAGCTCCTCCGCGTCCTTAATTTTCTTAATAAAAGCTTTTACGCGCTCCTAAATGCATTTAATCGGAAACACCCAAACGTCGTTAGCAATTTCATCATCCGCAACAATTAACGAGAGGAGTAAATTCTACCAGCTCCTGCTTGACGTGAGTCTGTCGAATGTCCTTGGGAGAAACGCCTTGCGTCTTCAAGAAAACGAACAGCAATGCATTGATAGTGTAGGCTAGTAACACAGCAAGAGAGTCGAGCAGCTTAGTAAGTCGACAATCAAAGACCATCAAAAATTATCCTAAGTTTGTTACACGTACCCAGCGAGACCTGAACCTTCGCACGCTCCAAAGGGCTTAAGGTTGCTACAAACTCCTCCATAGACGTCTGCTTGAAAACAGCGAGGTGCTCCTCCACAGCCGCTAGGGTCTGCTCCACGCTGCCGAACGCTTCCACGGCTTGGTCGCTCATCTTGTTGTCTGCAATTGACTGGAAGCCAACGAAGTGTGGTGCACATCACTTACCACCTGAAATGGCTACAAAGTGCTTCGAAGCTTCAAGCAACCTCGGAAACGCACCACCATGTAAGACGAATCGAATGAAACAATACTTAGCTAGGACTCAATTTTAGATGTCATCATGCCGCCTACAAGACAAATCCGTCGCCCTGACCCTCACCATTAGCGTCGGGGTTGGCGTTGGCATTGCCATTCTCACTGTTACTATCACCGCGAGAGCTCGTATCTTTCTTGCGTTTTTTCATGACCACCTCGACGGCGTGTGAGAAGGCCGATGCCGGTGCCTGTCCGCCCGGGTTGCTGGCCTGTAATGTGTCGATCAGGTCTTTCTGCACGTCGATCATTTCGCCCATCTTGCTTACCAGCTCCTGGAAGCGCTGGTCCATCAGCGCGATAAACTGCATCAACAGCACGCACGTTGGGTCAACGGTATCCCCGGAGGAGCTCTCTATCGCGGCTATCGGGCGCTTGATGCCGCTGACTTGCTCGCTCGGCAGCGAAGTCGGCGCAGACGCCGGCGCAATGGACGTAGTATTTATAGTTCTGGGTGGTGCACTCGTACTAGTAGCAACATTTTCATTCCTGACGGCGCATGTGACTTGGTCTTCTAGATTCGAGGACAACGGGGCCTTCTGGTTTTGCACCTGCCTCGCTTGTGCCCCATCGATATCCTCGTGTGCAGCAACAGCAGGATACACAGTCTCCACACGGGAAATACCGTCCATAGTCGTCGTTGTAGACATCACCGACGGTGTCTCCGGAGCTGTAGCAACCGCGGAAACAAGCTCAGACTTCACGGTGCCGCGAGCATTATCCTCCCTCGCCACTTCGTACTGCCGTCGATGTTCCACCGAGTAAACCTCGCCATCCTTCAAGTGCGCCCTGGTGAAGTGCATCTTGAACTTCTGAGTGCGCATGGGCTTGTTGCAATTCGGGAACGTGCAGATGATGCCATTCTTGTGCTTGTTGCCTACCATCGTCGTCGTCTTCAAAGGCGGCAAGTCGGCAAGTCAGCAGGTTCGTGAATGGACTGAAGAATTGGCAATATTAATTTTGGCGGCCCAATTAGGCAGCGCAAAATCAATTATTGAAACAATACATCGGGATTTTAAAGCTTGATGTCATTTTATTTCGGATGTATATAATTAATTTTACTGCTTTTTTAATTAAAATATTAATTGTATGCACTTTACTAAAGTATACACACCTCCAAGTTCAGACAGAATCTTGACTTAGAAGTTTATACGCCAAAAAAGTACTTTGTATCAAAAAAGTGCGCATTGTTTCGGCCCACTTTTGATCCTTTTCATTATGGTGGGGGTTTTGGATGTGTTCAGAACGCTCCAAAATACTTTTGTAAAATGTCTAAAATCCTGTCCAAAATTCAAAAAGCTTCCAAACTAAGTAATGGCATATTCGAAAAAAGAGGTTACAGGACTTTTAGACAGTTTTGCATGATCATTTTCATCTCCGGAGACGTGTCGACGCGCATGTCCAATACGTTCCGCGCCGTGGCCAGATACTTGAGGTCGGGGACTCGCTGCTGGGAATCTTCACAGCACCAGCATGACGTCGCAAACGTCAGCCAGAAGCACCGCTGAGCATCGCCATCGAGCTGTTGTCCAACGCAATCCCCCTCATCCTGAACCAACCCACCATCGTAGCGCTGTCGGGTGGTCAGACCGTGTATCGTGGCTCCTGTCGTCAAATGACCCTGCACTTCGCGTCAGCAGGCTACGACTGTCCGCAGTACATGAACCCGGCTGAGTACTTCATCAGTCTAGTGAATACAGACTTCGACGACCACGCAGACGTCCCGCAGATGGTGCAGTCGTACACCCAGAGCGAGATCCGCAAGGAACTGATCAACCGCATCAAGAGCGACCGCAAGACGCTGCAGCATTAGCCGGACATTGAGCAGCCGTCGCCGTCGTCGCTGTGTCAGTTTGGCGCGCTCATGTACCGCAACAGGTTGAACAGCATCCGGAACCCTGGGATCTACTGGATCCACTTGTCCATGTACACCTACTTGAGCTTCATGGTGGACCATGTACCTGAGTACGAACGACGACCTGACGGAGGAGGGCCTGCTGACGCTGCTGTTCTACGTGTAGGTGTTCCTGGTGTTCATGTCGGAGATACGTAGTCTTGCCCGTTGATCAGATCGAGAACATTTAGGTGTACTTATTGACGAACACGGTTTAATAGAGCCCCGCTATGCTTGTGCCTCGAAGGCACCTTCATTGTTGGAGCCAAGAGAGAAATAAACTCACGAAAAATTCGCGCTTCAACCAGCACAAATGGTAGGGCGCAAAAAACGAAAAACACCCTCGCCAAAGCCATTTCGAAGGTGTTTTGAGTGAGTTAACTGGGGTTAGAGAGGGAAGGTACATCCGTGGCAGGTAGTGGACCCGTAGCAACAGGTTTCGGTTGCAAAGAAATCTGAACATCTCGGAGTACGTTAGGGCACTGTCTAGAGCTGATCAAGTGTTTGAGCAAGTTGCCGCGGGGCTTTCCATTCTTCTTAAGCGTACCGCAATACTTGCAGCGGCCATGCTTCTTTCCATTCTCCCTTTCAATGTAGTAGTTATCCCATATATCGTTACGGGGACGCCCAGTTCTTAAAGGCGATGCACGAGACGAGCGGGGTGGAGCTGGAGAATGTGGTGGACGGGATGGGGTTGTTGTCCTAGGCTGCGGAGAGAATGTTATCGGTCGAGTTACTGGGGGCGAGTTAAGCTGTTGGCTTGACGGACTGGAGTACGATATGCCATCGCGATAAGGGCTGTAGCGTGGAGAGCGTCTCAACACGAAACCAGGTGGAGAACGGAACGGGCTGGTCCCGGAGCGTGCTGACCGAGCAGCTGACGGAGTAGATTGAGCTGCCGGAGTGGTTCGTCGCTGGTCAGCGATAGGAGCTCGATCTGGCGTCATGGAGCTGCTGCTTCTTCAAGGGGGGACACGCGATACACACGTTGCTTCTTTGAGGACTGATCGAAGATCGCTGTCATTGAGTTTTAGACACTTTTGCACA